ATGAAAAATAATAATAATGAGACATCAGTACAAGCACAAAAAACATGTAACCATGATTACTAAACGAAGGCCTCTCCCACCAAAAGAAGAAGTTTGGATGAGATTTTGCACCAGCAATTGTAGTAGCATACAACTATAAGAGAGAGAATAGAAACTGGCCAAGTTAGAAGAATTTGTTTTGGTTCCTTAAATAGTAAAATATAAAAATGATAAGATGAAAGTTCAAGAAAACAAAATATATGGGTTTAATAAAAGTACCAAATAGTGCCTGTAGTTTTCAATTCAAGGAAATAAAATAATAATTAAAGGTAAAAATGGAGATCAGATTATTCCCTATCATAAAATATAAATACTGAAATCAAAATGTACAAAAAATAGTAAAGTTCCCATCGTATAAAAAAAACAAGAGAAGAACAGGAAAATAGAAAATGAAAATTATTTTTAAAAAATCATATATTGATTCACAATGGAAAATGCCCTAAAAACTGAAAAACCTACTTAACAAGTTTATGCATAATATGAAAAAAATAGTGGCTGCATAATCACTGTGGAATTGCCAAACAATTAATGGAATGTACATTTGGTATGTAAGTAATAATAAACTTGTTGACAGTGAAGTCTATTTGATATCACTTGCCTGCTAATAGGCATTCCAAGGCAAATTTTCATACTGCAGCTCAAAGGCAAAGGCATTTATTCAAACAAATCCCCAAGAAAAGAAGCAGAAATAAACAAGAGCACCAGACTCTGTAGTGATCACAGATATGCTAAGACTTTGGGTAAGCAATCCACCAAGTAACTTTGTGGGCAAAATGGGATTCTTCCTTTCAAAATCTCCACACTTTGCTTAGTGGGGGCTAGGGAGATGGCGAATGAGGCCCAGGGATTGCCACTGACTTGGACCTGCCCTTGGTTCAACAAATTTTGTATGATCTTTTCTTCTCCCCCTTTTCCTTCTCTTCTTCATCCCCTCCTTCTGTCCACTTACCGTAATCATAAAGTACATAAGACCTTATCATAATGCTAAACTTAGGGGCTTTGCCTTTAAGCTCCACATTGTCACTGTATTTTGAATACACCACTAGTGACCTTAGATGTTGACACGGCAGGAAATTTTCTTTAAACAACAAGTCACCTACACTTTCCCTTCTTTTGTTATCACATATTTTTTTTTCAACATCATGCTGCCTTAGTCAGATGTTTTGATCTACTCATTATTATCTGCCCTGCATACTATATACTAAGGTGAAATGTAGCTCCCCGGGGTAAGTTAAGTCAGCCTTGTAATAGACTCCTTGATGACTAAATGTGTCTGAAGCCATTTGTGTGTGAACAAAATTAATAAAACAAAGGAGTATGAATTCTATATACAGTTATATATTTCTTCTGTAATATTTCCTTTTACTAAAATTATAAATTCATAAGTATTCATTTATTCATCCCTGAAGATTTTCTACCACATCGACATCTAAGGTCATTAGCTGCATTTAGCCAGAGTAATTTCAACCTTGATAGCATCCATTGTCATCTCAACAATTACAGTAGTTGTTTCATATATGGTATTTCTTCATTAAGACCATATTTTTTTCTTTCTTCCTTTCTTTCATGTTTTGGAAATTAATTAGGACTTGCATTTTACTTATTCTTATTCCATATATTTGAGAAAAAAAACAATGTTGCATGCTTTAAACTTTTTATTGGTAGAAAAAATAGCTGATGAATGCTGTTCACTTTTGTTTACATGGAACTTTCAGATTTGGAAAAAAAAATGAACATACATCAACATGTCTGAAATATTGTCAACTAACATTAAAACAACTGAACCTCACAACCTAACATAGTAGATTAATAAACCATTGACAATGGATATAACAGAAATGAACTAGCAAAAACTAAATACTTTAGAAAAAAACAGAACAAGCTGAGGCAATAGATTTACCCAGAAAGAAAATATATGTCACAAGGGAAAAAAAAAAAAAAAAATTATGTGAAATAGGTTATATTCCTCTTAAATTTGTTGTTCATTTTGGCACTTGGATTTGATAAATTTCTGTATAAAAGGCACTTTTATGATCTCAATTTGTAACAACTAATTAGACTATTTGTTGGTGTATCACGAGATTCACTGTAAATAAATTATCAAGAAAAGTTTCAACAATTATAAAATGTACATAATCAAATCTCTCTCACAGGAAAATAAAAAATATTATAGTATGTAACTACAGATTCCCTTCTGTAAACTGCAGTGCTTCCAAAATGATACTTTCAATTGGCTTCATTTATAATTTTGCTTATAAGAATATATTTATTCACTGCAGTTCTGTGCAATCAGATCTTTCAATTCATTAAACTTTGCTTAACCCATTAATATTCTTTTTTAATTTCCATTTTATATTTGACCATAAGCTTGAGCTCACCAAAATAATCCCATCCATTTTTTAAACCTTGCTTAATATTTATAATAAATCAGGCTGATGCAAGCTACTATTCCCACCACTGAAGATGTATTTCGCTGATATATATTCCATCTTGAGCTTTAAGCTAGATAAAACCTACTTATAGTATGGCACTCAAACAGAAAATCTATAAGTCCACATTATTATTCCCCGTTATAAATTTCATATCGTAGCTCAGTTAAATGGTCGTTGATTTCTTCTACAACGTGTCCCAGTTCGGCTCGAATTTCTTTTTCTTTCATCTTTTCTAATTCGCCTTCACTGCACTCTGTAACCATCTGTCGTGCAAGCTGCAGGTGTGCGGTCTGTAAAAGGGGGTTAAGTTGATGAAAACAGTATAACCTATTTTTCAAAGCATTATGACCTAGTTTCCCTTCTTCATTTACTATGATCAACTTCAGAATAATTACATTTGAAGACCATATATACATATTTGGATGTTCTTTCCCAAACATGTGCTGATATATCAAAATCATCTGGTTTATCAATTAAAAAAAGGACAACTAAATAATTGTACACTATTTGTGGAATTCCAAATTTGATACTTCCAATGATGAAATATTAGTCTCTAAATGCACTGACTTACCAACTCTAACTTCTTTTTTTCACATTCTTGAATTGCTAGAATTGTATCTGCAACAGCATTATTACCGCTAGATCTAAGGTTCTTCTCAATAGCTATGATATCCCCTGATATTCTCTTGAATTCTTGTGTGACATCATGAACCAGCTGCCGAAAAGTGGGGAAGTCGTAGTTTGGACTTGTACTCAAATATATCTTGTGCCCCCTGCAAATGTGAAATGAATTAGTGCTTTCATATCAGAGTGATCAACTTTCAAGACTTTGATAAACCTGTAATTTTGTCTTCATCAATCACTTTCCATAATGAATAAAATATTTAATTGTACAACCACAAGCGCAAGTAATAAAATCTCAAATTAAATATTTATTCCTTAGATGGAAATTATAGTGTATCATCAATGAAGCAATACAAAAATATTCAAGGTTCAAATCAGACTTGATTTGAACTTCACTTGGACAAAAGTATCTATCTCACTTTTCATTATCCATAATCCAAAGAACCATGCTATACACAATTAATATTTCCTTTCTCAAAGACTTTTTTATTTAACTACTATGTGTGGATACCTTTTTTGACAGAATACTAAAAAGCCCTAATGGTATTAAAATCACACTAGCATTCTGATTGCTAATATTTCAAATAGTGGT